GTGTTTATTTATATATATATATATATATATATATATATATATATACATAATAAATATACACAGAACACACACATTTATTATGCAAACAAAAACTTTTATTTTGGATGTGATTAATCGCGATTAATCGTTTGATAGCACTAAATTATATATGTAAATATGTCTCATTCAGTCTTATTGAAAGTATAAAAGATGACCTACAAACACAACTTGAGTTCATTTAGACAGCACTAATAATTTAGTTTTTAACCTTATTTTTAAGCCTTATTTCAAAACTCTATTTGGCAAATGTATATTTTTTGTTGTTTATTTGATGCAAACATGGTTGAATTAGGGTTTTTGTTTTCCTCCACACCTCATGACAGAGATTGACTAAGGTGACGGTATTAATAGCCTTATTCCGGCTGCGTCTTAAGTGGATCACACACGCTTACACACTCACACACACACTTTCAGACTCACAGACAGTCAATACAGGATCCCACAGAGAGTGTCTCCTGTTTTAGGCCATATAAACGAGGGTGAAAAGATGTGTGGAAAGGTTTAGCTTACACATATTTGTGAAATAAAGGAGAATAACTGATAGATGGGAGGTTTTTCCATAACTGACTCCTGCAGCTTAATCACTCACAAACAGGACGAGTTGCATAATGTGGTTATGCATCAGATCACTGCTGTTATATCAATAGATCTGCAGTCTTATGCATCAAAAAGATATAACAAATCTCAATGTTATAAGTTAATTATTTTATCTAAATCTTCAAACGCATATATATATATTTATATATTAGAAAAAAATATTAATAATGTTTTTTTGGATGCAGTTTAATAAATAATGCATTTTAAAAAATCTTCAAATCCGAAGAATGTATGCATAATACATGTTTTTGGATGCGGTTTTCATGCATTTGTTTGCAGTTTTGTGCTTCAGATTTGTTCTTGCATCTTTTTTATATTTTTATATATTCCTGTACATAATAGCCTAAATATCTTTCATGTATAACATCCTCCACATCAGACAGATTGGTGAGCACGTTTCAAACATAAATATGACTATTTAGTAAATAAATTGCTCAGAGAACAAGGCACAAGTCGTACACATAAACTTGAATCCATTTAGTGTGCAGTAGGATGCACAATAAGTTGCTTTTGAATTACTTGAATAGGCTTAACACTCACATTCAAATATATTCTTCTTTTTATTTGTTGCTTACACTTGCATCCTTACTGGTGAGTAATCTAACTTTCTAACTTTGATTACTTTTAATAATAGCTACTGTCCAACATGTCTATTTCAATAATGTAATTTTATAACTGCACACATCAGAATATTGCAGAAGCCCAAAAAGAAGAAGCCCGAGTCGACTCCAGCAGAGACCAATGGGACCGAAGCCAAACCCAAAAAGACCAAGAGCAAGAAGAGCGGTGATAGCTGCCCGGCCGCTCAGAGTACGGCAGAGAGCTCATGTCCTGATGTTACATCACTGCGCTTCTGTCAGTCTGTTTACACAACTCTCACAAACCTCCCTCACAGATGGAGAGAAGGTGAAGAAGAAGAAACTGGAGAAGGACAAAGAATCAACAGAGAAGGAGAAGGAAATCAAAAAGAAAGTGAAAAGTGCTCCAAAGAAGAAGAAGAGTAAGTGACCCAGTTTTTTTTTGTGTCATTTATATGATTTATATTATTATATTAAATGATGTTTGTTATTTATTTATATTATATATTATTATATTCTGAATTAGATTTTGTTTTTATATTTTTAGTTTTCATTTTAACTTTAGTTTAAGTTTTAATTTTGTCATAAATTTTTATTATTTTTTATTTTGCTTCCATTTAGATTTGTTTTAGTTTTTAGTAATTTTAGTACTTCAAAGTCAAAGTCAAAGTTTATTTATAAAGCACTTTTTCAAAACAGCAAGTGTTTATCAAAGTGCTGTACACACATAAAAGAATAAAAATATAAATGATACAAACAGTCAACAACACAAAAGAACACAATAAGACACCATAAAGACAGTAAAAGAAAGCAGCTCTCACATAGCGTCAAATGCCAGACTATAAAAATAAGTTTTTAGGCTAGATTTAAAAACAGCAAGTGTTTGAGCCTGTCTAATGTAGAGGGGCAAACTATTCCAGAGCTTCAGGGTTGCCACTGCAAATGCTCGGTCACCCCTGCTCTTCAACTTTACCCGTGGGACAACTAAAAGCAAATGGTCAGCAGACCTAAGTGCTCTTAGTGGAGCATACAGCTTGATCAAGTCGAAAAGATATTTAGGTGCTAAACCATTAAGATATTTAAAAACAAATACCAAAATCTTAAAATGAATCCTAAAATGGACAGGTAACAGTGAAGAGAGGCGAGAACAGGGGTGATGTGTTCCCGCTTTCGTGTACCAATCAGCAAGCGCGCTGCCACATTCTGGACCATCTGCAGTCTGGAGAGAGAGGCCTGACTAATACCTATATAGAGGTCATTACAATAATCCAAATAAAAATATGAACGATTCTTTGAAAGTCTTTAGAAGACAGGAAAGATTTCACCTTGGTGAGTTGTCTCAATTGGAAAAAAATAGATTTAACTACCAAGTTAATCTGTTTGTCCAATTTAAAATCACAGTCTATGATAACACCTACATTTTTTACATAGGGCTTCACAAGTGGCTTCAATTCACCAAGGTCCAAATCTGATGACTCACAAGTACCTCCCGGCATAAACAGCATAACTTCTGTTTTATTTTCATTAAAATTAAGGAAATTTAGTGCCATCTAAGCCTTAATTTCCTCAAGACACTGCAATAGGTGTGCTAAAGAGCAAGTATCTTTTTGTTTCAAAGGCAGATCAATTTGCATATCGTCTGCATAACAATGAAAAGAAATACCAAATTTCCTAAAAATATGTCCTACTGGGAGCAAATACAGGGAGAACAGAATAGGCCCCAAAATGGAGCCCTGGGGGACCCCACACATGAAAGAAGCAGTTGAGGAGACAAAGTCTCCAAAACTAACTGAGAAAGTTATTTCGGACAAATAGGCTCTAAACACAACGCAGTACCCTTAATACCAACACATTGTTCTAAGCGTGTAATCAAGATCTTATGGTCTACAGTATCAAATGCAGCCGAAAGGTCTAGTGATTTTAATGATTTTAATCATTCAAATTATTTTATTTCAGAGAGTTGTCAAGGCAGCATTTCCTCAAATTCCAGTGCAGTTTCTGAAAACTGAAAGTTTTTCCAGTTTCAGTTTTTAATGTAATACTTATAGTTTATATCATTTCTGCTTTTTCAATTACCGAAAGATAGTTTTAGTTAAAAATAACAACACTGAAATGACCTTCATAAAATTGTTTTACTTTTGAAAAAAATAATAATAATAAATAATAATTTAAAAATGGTAAAAGTCTCTTCAAAAACTGATGAGAAAAAATAAACACAAATGAGACAATAACTGACATACAGTAAGAGTTTATAGAGCTATAAAATGTACATGTATAGCAGCTCAGATCTTGGGAGAATTTGATGAGAAATGTTTGAGATCTCTACATTTTTATTTCAGATTTTAATATTTTGAGCTCTGTTTGAAACATTAGTGAGATCTTTTCAAAACCTCTAGAGAACTGAAGTGCGATAACTGAAGTCCTTTTCTAATGAGAAAAACCAGGGGTCTCAATTTGCTCTTCATTTCGTCTCGTGGCTGTCTAAGAGAAACAACTGTGATACTAAAGACTGTTTTCTCATTCCAACAGGATGATGGCGTGACATTTGAAAAGCAAACTTAACCAGATTTTCTATACCTGAGCACTTAAATGTGTTTATTGCAAAACAGGTTCTACAGAAGATGATGATGATGATGAAGAGGATGATGAAGAGACCACTCCTCAGAAGAAGACGAAGAAAAAAACTTCAAAAGAAACTTCTGATGGAAAAGAAAAAGACAAGGAAAAAGACAAGAAGTCCAAATCAAAAGGTGTCCTCTGTTCACAGGAACTTTAAAATACAAAGCACTTTAAACTTTCTATTATGAGATATGATGTTAGTTTAGTTAGTTTCAACAATACCTGCTAACTTGACTTATTTATGCTTGCTTTATATGAACATTAAGATGTCAAAGAGGACGCAGACAGTAAAGGAAAATCTAAAGCCAAGAAGAAGGAACCAGCCTCCATGTTTCAGATCAACAGAGACAAGCCTGAAACCAAGAGTAAAAAGAAAGGTAATGTTTTGAGAGCACTTCTATATACATGTCTGATTCAGAATAATACATACGTTTACAAATGTGGCGTGAAGCAGCTGCTAAATCTGAGAGTGAAGAGGAGAGCAAACCAGAAACCAAAACCAGCAAGATGAAGAAGAAGAGCAGCTCAAAACCAGCGTCCATGTTTCAGACAGGAGGGGACAAAGACAAGGACAAAGACAAAGACAAGGACAAAAAGACAAAAAAGGCCAAAAGTAAGCTCTGGTTCTTTACCACATTTGGTATAAGACATTATGGTATATGCAATTTACATATTGACATAAAATCATATAATAGCTTCAATGATAAAACAAATCTTTCATGTTATTTTTATATATACACACAATTATATCACCATAAACAGTTCATCGAATAAGTAAATAATACATAAATAAATTGATAAACAAATAAATAAAATAGCACCTGCATGGCATACGTTATATTTTTTTTCTGAATAGCAATAAAATGAAGTTAAGGGACCATATGGAAGTTTATACCATGCCATAGTGTGAGGAAATTGAATATTAATTGTTATTATCTTTGTCTGAACTGATTTGTTTCCATAAAATGGCAGCCCAATGACTGTTGCCATGTCTAATTTTAAAGGGGTCCTATTATGCTCTTTTACAAAGTCTTGATTTTGTTTTGGGGGTGTACTAGAACAGGCTCTCATACTAGGTTGTTCGAAAAACACATTATTTTTCACATATTTTACATTATTACAACAGTCTCTCCCCAGTCTGGCACGAACGGCTCGAATAGTTTCTGTATCAAATTGTAACTTTGCAGATCTTTTTTATGCTCAAACAGCAACATTACAGACTAACTAAAGTTGAAAAAGTGAAAAAGCATAATAGGACCCCTTTAAGGGTGCTCCGATCAGGATTTTTGGAGCCAGTCACCGATCGTCGATCACCGATACTGATCTTTTTAAAGCTTTTTTTTTTTATCTTGTCGAATTATTTATAGTGATGCTCCAATCAGGAATTTTACAGACATTCATTCAGAGCCTGAATTACATTTTTGAAAATGGGGGAATTCCCCCTTAGGTGACTCTTGTGGGGGATTTTTTCATTTGAGGGGTGGAGGGGAGGCATTTTTTAGACATTTTCAAAAATATAGAATGATCTCACCTAAATGTTTGATCATGCAGTGCATTTTTGTTTTTACAATGGGGCAGTTGTTGCACAATAGCTTACACACAGCACAAGCCTGATTTGGTGAGCTGTATGTTAGACGGCCTTATGTGTGCGCGCTTTGAGTGTGCATGAGACCGCAGATTAAAGCGATTATCGGCTGATAGCGATCGGTAGACGATCAATCAGAGCACCCCTGTCTAATTTGATTGTTTCTCATCCTCAGGTCCTGCTAAAGCAGAAGAGACTGAAGACTCTGATTCAGAAGTGACAAAGAAGAAGAAAAAGGGCAAAGGGAAAAAAGGCAAAAAGGTGAATTCATTATCTTCCACATAATTCTCATTCCAGCATTAATTTATTATGATTTTTTTCTCTAGTAACAACAGTGCACAAGTGGTTTTTGGTTGCAAACTATGATTATCATGGTAAACGTTTCTAAGATTACCTCTCTTATTCCTCTGAAGGAGGAGCGAGCACCTTCTCCTCCCATCGAGTTTGACAATCTGGAGGAGTTTGTTCTTCAACCTGCACAACAAGGCGTCACAGTAAAGTGCAAAGTGACCCGTGACAAGAGAGGGATGGACCGAGGCCTTTACCCAACGTACTACCTGCACCTGGACAACGAGAAGAAAGTACTGTGACATTTGTTTTTATCTGTATATGTGTTGTGCATTTTTTGAAAGAAGGCTCTTATGTTCACCAAGGCTGCATTTATGTGATCAAAAATACAATAAAAGCTGTAATATTGTGAAATATTTTTATATAATTCAAAATAACAGGTTTCTATGTGAATATTTTAAAATATAATTTATTGCTGTGATCAAAGCTGAATTTTCAGCATCATTTCTCCAGTCTTCAGTGTCACATGATCCTCCAGAAATCATTCTAATATGCTGATCTGCTGCTTGAGAAACATTTCTGATTATTATCAGTGTTGAAAACAGTTGTGCTGCTTCATATTTTTGTGGAAATAGTGATACAATCAGGATTTATCTTTGATGAATAGAAAGTTCAAAAGAATGCATTCATTTAAATAGAAATATAGATAGACACAGAAATATAGATGGACATCTTTTGTAACATTATTTGACTTTACTGTCACTTTTGATCAATGTAATGGATCCTTGCCGATTAAACGTATTAATTTCTTTAAAAATCTTTTTTTTTTTAAATACTAACAATATATGGGCTAATAGATGTCAGTAATTTTAGCTTTGCAAACTGGAGTAATATGATTTTTGATGTAACACATTTTTCTGTCCATCTTATATCCAGGTATTTTTGTTAGCGGGAAGGAAGAGGAAAAAAAGCACAACCTCTAACTACTTGATCTCCATTGACCCGACTGACCTCTCCAGAGGAGGAGAAAACTTCATTGGAAAGCTGAGGTAAGTGGGTTTGCGTACCATTACCATTATAGCTGCTCCTCTTGGACTCTTTTGTAGGTCTATAACACAGTCTCTTTGATGTAAAGGTTATTTGCATATATATTTCAGGTCAAATCTGATGGGAACCAAGTTCACGGTGTTTGATAATGCACTGCATCCGGACAGAGCTCTGCCGGACATGTCTAACGCGCGACAGGAATTAGCAGCTATTATCTATGTAAGGCAACATCCCCTTACTGCTGTAGTTTTAGTGGAAGCACTAATCATTTATTCAATGCATGCTATATTTCATAATATTAATTTGATATTGCATTGTGGCTTTAGGAAACAAATGTTTTGGGCATGAAAGGACCAAGGCGAATGATTGTAATTATTCCTGGCATGAACAAAGATGGAGAACGAGTCCCCATACGGCCCCGTAGTGTAAATAAAACACAAATAAATTAATGTTTAATTTTTATTTAATTTAATTTAATTTACTTTTTTTATTGATTTGATATATGTATTTGTTAAAATGACAACTGAATATACTGCTTCCCAACAGGAAAATGATGGCCTCCTCATTAGACAACAAAACAGAAATATGGAAAACTTGATAGAGCTGCGCAATAAGACGCCAGTGTGGAATGAAGAAACGGCGTCACACGTGTTAAACTTCAACGGCAGAGTTACACAGGCCTCCATCAAAAATTTCCAGATTGTGCATAACAAAGACCGTAAGTAACTCAACCATATCTCTGCAGCTCCAAAACATAAGCTACTGTATATTTGTTTTTAGATTTCTATTAAGCTTTTTTTATGTCAATTTTAATTTGAATAATTTTAGTATTTAAACTTTTATTCCAGTCAGTTGCCAAATCAACATTTCTAATTGCTTGATTTTTTTTTAAGTTACGTTTTTTGAAAAATCTAATATTTAAATTTGTTATTTCAGCTTTATTTTAATTATTGATCATTTTTAATAGGTTTAGTTAATAATAACAACACTGGTACTGTGTTAGTAGAGCATGTTGCTAATAACAACATGCTCATGATAACCTGTATACTTTAAATGCTCTGTAATACGTGTTGACTAAAAGTGTCTGCCAAATTTGTTAATGCAACATACTGTATCCCACAATGCAATGCACTTGATCTCACCATCCATTTCCAGTGTGACAAATGTACCACAAATAATATCAGCAACTATTTTAATCTCTTCATTCATTAGTAATTACAAAAAAATTATTATTAGTACACAAAAATGGATTAGAAATCCAAAATAATCATATTTTAAGATGTGACATCTTGAATTAAACATGCAAAATGCTCAAGTGTAGAAAACCATTATTTGAAATGCTTAGTGTTTCATGTTGCATACTGTTTCACTATTTGTATGTAAAAGTATGAAGTGTGCAGTATACACTGTGCAATATGCAGTGCCAATCAGCAGTCTGAACAGCTTGATGTTGTAAAATATATTGCAAAATAATAATCAGTGTTAGTATTTGTATGTTGGCTAAGTAAATAAAGCATTATTACATCACCCTGTTTTGTGCTACATTTCAGAGGACTACATAGTGATGCAGTTTGGGAGAGTAGCAGACGATGCCTTCACTCTGGACTATAGGTATCCTCTGTGTGCGGTACAAGCCTTTGCCATCGCTCTCTCCAGCTTTGATGGCAAAATCGCCTGCGAGTAAAAGCGTAAAGACGTCTGTGATTTTGTCACATGCAACAAATGGGAAACGTTCTCACTCAGCATCAGCTCAATTCACGACGAGAAGACCAAAACCCATAAATCTGTAAAATAAAGCCACCATTGCTTGTGGGATTGCATGATTTTACATGCTGGTGATATCCGCTTGGGCTAAAATCAAGTTTTGGTTGTACAATGGATCTACTGAGAAGGGAGGAAGTGTGTTGAGGTGTTTGATTTTGAGTTTGAAAGATGTGGTGAGGAGGTCACGTTAGACGTGGCGTGTGTTTGAAAAGGGAAAAAGAAACAATGGATTGTGTTTTATTTTTAGGTTATGCATACAATGCAATTAGGAAAAATGTGTTTTAACATTGTCTGCTTCACATTTTAGTAAACCCGGTTAAAATCTGTGTTATCTTATACTAGTAACATAAATGGAAAAAACACTTTGTTAATAGGAATAGAATAGTTCACCCAAAACTGAAAATTTGCTGAAAATGTACTGACCCTCAGAGCATCCAAGATGTTGATGAGTTTGTTTGTTTGTAGGAACAGATTTGGAGAAATGTAGCATTACATCTCTTGCTCACCAGTGGATCCTCTGCAGTGAATGGGTGCCGTCAGAATGAGAGTCCAAACAGCTGATAAAAACATCACAATAATCCACAAGTAATTCACACCACTCCAGTCCATCAGTTAACATCTTTTGAAGCAAAAAGCTGTGTGTTTGTAAGAAACAAATCCATTATTAGGGCATTTTAAAACCGTTACTTCCGGCTAAAGTTCATAATCCATAATAACGCTTCCTCCAGTGAAAAAAAAAGTCCAACTCCTGTTGTCCTCTCACATCAAAATCCACACACATATTTGTTTTGGGCTGTTTTCACTTGCAAATGGTGTTTGATCTGTGTATGTTTCTTTCCTTATTCAGACGAGACGACATTTTCACTGGAGAAATCAATATTCTGGATAGAGGACTCTAGAGGATTTTAGCTGGAAGCAACAGTTTGAAGTTAAAAACATCCAAATGATGAATTTGTTTCTTATAAACACACAGCTTTTCACTTCACAAGACGTTAACTGATGGACTGGAGTGGTGTGAGTTACTTGTGGATTATTGTGATGTTTTTATCAGCTGTTTGGACTCTCATTCTGACGGCACCCATTCACTGCAGAGGATCCACTGGTGAGCAAGTGATGTACAGTAATGCTGAATCTCTCCAAATCTTTTCCCATGAAGAAACAAACTCATCTACATCTTGGATGGCTTGAGCACTGTGGGTGAGTACATTTTCAGCAAATGTTCGTTTTTAGGTGAACTATTCCTTTTAAAAAGGGGAAAAAAACATTTCTCTGTATTATTAGCAGTTGTACTGTGTTTTGTGTGTGTAACCGTGTAAGAATGCTTGTCTGAGAGCAAGCAGGAAAGAGGGTGTCTGTGCAAGTGTGCCGAAAGCCCAAGATTAAAGCAAGGTCCAGGTTTATCAACGCTGATAGTAAATTTCAGATTTTTGCGCATGCAATATCATTGACTGACGCTTGGAGTATGTCAAACATCTCAACCACTCATGCTGTTTCTTGCTTACTCAAGCAAAGATGATCTGGAATAATAAGTGTCATACAGGAATAATGTGTACTATCACCTGATGCAGATGCAAACACTTGACGTTTGGTGTTTAATTGTTTGTTTCGCCTTGTACGTGTCATTGTAGTTTATGTATGATTATTTGTGTTACATAGGATGTATTTGATAAAAACCCATAACTGTCTTAATGCTTGCAGACAAAGGTCATTAGTCATGTTCTTCCGTTTATATGTAACCCCTCTCTCCCGGGTCCTCACCGCCACACCTCGTTCTCGTTCCGAGTGGGTCTCGAACCCAGGTCTCCGGCATGGGAGGCGGACGCACTAACAAGGAGGCTAAAGACTGCTGCCTCTAGCATCAGTCACTAGTGCGTCTCTTGAGATCAGGGGAGTGAGGTTTACCTGCACAGCACCTACTCGCTGGCCTTCGTTACCCTCACCCCCCTAAGCCTCACTCCCATCCGGGTCACGGCACCAATGTAACCCCTCTCTCCCGGGTCCTCACCGCCACACCTCGTTCTCATTCCGAGTGGGTCTCAAACCTGGGTCTCCGGCATGGTAGGTTGTGTGAAAGGTTTTGCTTATGACAGTTCAGGTTGCCAAGTCAATATGAAATAAAAATGTACTTTCTTGCACATTTCTGGTATTTTTGTGCATGTTTCATTAATACATTTTTTGAATTGCTTCTCTTTGACTCTGAAATAACTTTCTTTTTCACTTGATACCACCAAAGCAGCTTTAACATTGAAAACTGATGTTAACCAATAGCCAAATAGCTATTTAGACAAAGTTTTAGGCTTTAACATTAATTTAATGCTGCTTAGTTTTTATTTCATAAATGCCACTGCAATAATAGCAAATTACAGTAGATTTGAAAAATTATGAGTTTAAATGTCTTTCTAAATCTTGTAAGGTAAAAAAAAAAAAACATCTTAAAAGATAAAGTCATTGCATGAGGCTGAATGAATGAACAGTATAACAGAATTAAAGTCTCGATGGGGATCTCTCTTTAAACCTTCAGCCTCAGGCTAGACCAGACGATCTGTCACAGCCTGCTGGGTAGGTTCAAACTTGCAAGTCTCAAAAAAGTTTACCATGTAGAGTTGCTGTGATAATTTCAACTACTTCCTCATCTTGTCCCTGTAGCTTTTTGTAACCCTTGTAATATTTTAACTTTACTTTGCTAATCTTTACTCTGGACTGTACTCTGTTTCAGTTTTGGCCTACAGACGGAGCTCTACGCGTGTAGAGATGTATGTTAAAGCAACATATACATGCATTATAATCTTAGGCTCCATTCCAGCATATTACATCACTGAGTATGACTGTTTTGCTCCCCTGAGACGCTGGTTGTGGTGAAGAGGTTTCGCTGTTCACACTCATCGCTCTGGAAGGCTTAATGGATTCTATTAGAATTGCTGAACGATGAAGAGGATGATGATGATGGACTTCTAAGGGACTGAGAATCGTGCAGTATTTGACCTGCCAATAAAATCACTTGGTTTTACAAAGTGTTTTAAATACAGTGATAAGCTCATTTATAAGCTCAGTTATATAGATGTTTTAAATGATTATTTAAAAAAAAAGTCTAGTACTGAAAAAGGATTTTATTAATTATTCCAAGTTTTTGTCTAAAAATTTGAACCTAGTTTTTATTTTCAGTAAATGAGTATATAAGTACTTATTTTAATTAGCACATTTTACATATTTTAACATATTTAAATTGGCAGATTTTTAATAATTATTCAAATTTTTTTGTCTAAACTTTTTTTTAACTGCATTAGTTTTTAACTGCATTAGCATTTAGTATATAAGTACTTATTTTAATGAGCATATTTTACCTCTTCTTCTTTTCATTATTATTATTATTATTATTTTTTTTTTTACATATTTTAACATTTAAAGTAGCCCTACATTTTTAAATATACACTCAGAAATTCCAAAACAAGTATTTCTTAAATCCACAAAAGCAAAAGACTACTAACTAAGTTGCTAATTAACTAAACATTGTAAATGTTACTAGTCTAATTAGTTAATAAACGTTAATGCACAAATTAATTGTGTGAATATTTAGAAAAACATGCAATACCAGATTACGTTCCAGATATTATCTACTCTGCGCTATTTGTTATTGATAAACGTAATTACATTAATCTAAACTTGGTATTTATAACTCAATGTACAGTAGCTCAAGTACAGCTTTCCTCTTTTCTTCTCTGTGGCCCAAAGTGGGCGGGCCTTTGGAGAAGTCCCCGCCCCCAGCCGTGTTGATTGACGCGCACCGGTGGCCCCTCCTTAAACTTTTTCTCCCCCTCCTTCGTTTTCCGCTGAAGTGCGTGAATTTCATACCAAACCCATACTTCGCATTCCACCTTTACTGTCAAACCGGGAGAAATATTACTGAAAACAATAGAGCACCAAGATAAATATAACTTTAAAGAAATAAACCTCGTCCAGTTCTATCGGTAGAGGTGTTTGCCAATAAAGGTGAGTTTTAGATTCACTCGTTCCCTTTGTCTGGTCGCGTTTTTCATGCCGCTCTAGCGAAGTTTTCAGATCTTTGTCATATTTCACATTTTTCCTCGGAACTCCCTGCGTTGGGTGGGATGAGGGACAGAATTCCGTGTGGATATGCTGTGATTGTGCGTGTGTGAGAGCGAGGGAGCCGATTTTAGTGCGATAGCCCGGAACTTTTTGCCTTTGAATTACACTTTTAAGTTAGAAACATTATCGCAACTAACGCTTCCATTATTGCACGTCGAAAATGTCTTGCTCGTCTGCACAGGCTCTTAGTTACTCTCATAGCAGGATTTCCCAAACACTTGTGATTGAAAATAAGGAAAGAAGTTTTGTTGTTCCAGAGAATTGTCAGAGAGAAGCGACAGAAGTGTTTGGAGAGCTCGCCAACCCCTTTTTCTACGTTATCAGGTAAGTCTGACTATGTTTGTTTCACTTGACAGGCTCAATACGTTTACTGGATTTAATATTTACTGATTTCTGTGAGGTTATTAGTGAGGTGAATTTAAGAGCAGAGAATTATATGCATTAAAAGTTATGTTTTTCATTTACAAAGTTATGTTTTTTTCATTACACACTCTAAAAAAAAAATGCTGGGTTGTTTCAACCCAACCTTGGGTCAAATATGGACTAACCCAAGTGCTGGGTTAAAAACTTAATTTAAAAATGTATCCCAACATTTGGGTTAGTCCATATTTTACCCAAAGTTGGGCTGAAACAACCCAGCATTTTTTAGAGTGCATGTGAAGTGAAAAAATTACACTATTGGGAAGAGTTGAACTGACTTAACCTATAGAAATAGCGTAAAAACAAGTTATTGTAAAACTGGTTGATATGATAACTGATTTCTTTGGAAACGGTCATATTTGCCTTCAGGCACTTTTCATATTGAATATCAAAACCGAATTAAATATTTGTATGTTTTTGTATGGACTTTTGTTATCTTAATGTCTGTAAACTCTCTGTTATACTATAATGACGTTTTTTTGACGTTTAGAATTAAAAACTATTTTGGTTCCTCAGGTAAAGCAGTGACGTTGAGTGATCTTCCCGCCCAAACAGCTCAGATTGAGCATTTCGATATTAACCCTTCTATGGTTTAAAGAGAATTTTGACCCTTTTTGGTGGCCTATCCTGACTTTGTGACGTTTTCAAGAATATCTAAACCAAAAATAAAAACAGTTTACAGTTTTGTGTAAATGTGTTTTAAATGAAAATAACCTTTTCTCATCATTCAATTCAATTCACATTTATTTGTATAGCGCTTTTCACGATACAAACCGTCTTTATGGTCAAATTTGTTGAAGAACCAATCATGGCCTTTGGTCTTTAAGATGTTATTCAACTTTAAATAGTTTCTGTAAATCTATGAAATAAAAATAAAAAAATCTGTAAGCAGATTAAACACCTCCCTAATTTAAACATTAATGAGTGTTTTTAGACCCTCGTGAATTAGATTTTTTTTAATGTAACACAAATTTGACTGAGGGATCCCAGGAGGATGCCGTTTCTTAGGACAACAAGCGGGTTAATGAATTCTCATCTTATCAAACATTTTCATTTGGTGAGACCCAAGTATTTTGAGTTCTGTCCTCCTCGTGAATATGTAAATTCGTTTTTAGTTTGCTCCACGCATATGTAAGTGTTTTTAATGATGCTCTGCACATTTTTATTGTTCCTCTGAGTTACTATTAATGGACAGGTTTCGTTGAACAGAAATGCTGCACTTCAGGTTGGACTTAATCAGTTCAGCCCAAACTGCCTCTTCAGGTTCAGCTGCTTGATTAGGTTGTCTTATGTTTTACCTCCTTTTGGAAAGGTTGGGCTTCTCAAAAAAAGTTTGAAATATAGCTAGATATAGGTCGGGTTGTGTTTAGAAGTGATTGTTGTTGTAGCTCCTTAAAGAGACTGTACGTAGACCAGATGTTACGGTGGTTTTTGTTTAGTCAACAGTGAAAGTAACTAAATTGTACTCCAGTTTTTTGGTTTACATTTAGATTTTGAGTCAGATCTCAGCCAAATCTTTTTCTTGCTCGTGAGTCCAAAACATCTAAACAATTTATTGAGATGTTACCCCAACCTCATTATCTGATCAACAACAAATGAACCCCACATCGGAGGTTCGGCTTCCCACATTACTAAATGCCTCGGCTTCTTAACTAAGTCTGTTATAGGAAGTTTAGTTTAGTTTGGCTTGTGATATGCATTCCAGGCAACCTGTCCTGGTATTTGCCTCTTACGTGATATGTAAGTCACTTTACTGTAAGCCTCCGCGGTACGGAAATGTCTTTTGAAAAAATATTCCTCGGGTAAATATGTAAGCTCAAGCCCGCTAGTATTAGTGTTAGCTGTCCCTTATGCAATTTTCAGTGGCCAATATTGAAGATCACAAGGCATGGATTATATAATGCTCAATTTACACATAATACAAGTTAAAGATTACAAAAGCACATTTCTGAAATGAAAGTATTGTTTTACACAGATTTCTGAAACGGAGCATGTTTTTTCCATTGACCAGGTTTGCATTGGAACGGAGGTGATTTTTTAAATATTAGTTTATACACAACTGTAAAAAAAAAATTTCCTGATTGTTTTGAGGGCAACACATTTTAAGCAAACATACTTCTTTTAGTGAATTTAAACAGATGCCGCATGTTTATGCCACATTTGTTGTTCAGCTGCAAATGTGCTGTTCTCATTTTTTTTTTCTCAGACATCACAAACGAACCCTGAACTCCCTCCACTGTCAGGCTTTGCCGAGCGAGGAAGCATCATTTCATGTCTGCTTTTGCTCTCTGTTAAATAGAGCTTTACTGTTTAATAAGCTAACAAATCAGTTTTAATGATTTGTTTGTTCTTGCTCTGAGCTCTCAATCCCGTCCCCAAACAGGTCCTGAAATTTGCAATCATCTCCAAGGCATTTCTAGTGGTTCTTGATGCAGAAAGTCCAGAGCGTATCCTCCTTAAGAGATCAAGCGTGTACGATCAGTGCAGATTGTTTGTGCCATATGTGTTTACGTTGCTGGCCAGTTGACAGTTCCTTTAGCTGTTTTGTGTTAAGGGCCCAGCTGAGAGCGTAATGAGCCTCTTTCCATTTGTGCGGACTGAAGCGGCCTTTTAGCACCCACCGCAGAAGTGGCTCTCCAAATGGTGACCACTTACCTGTCTGTCAACAGAGCTCTGAACAAATATCTAGCTGTGTGCGTTTTCAAGCATTTGAGAGAGCGATCATCTCGCATGATGCACTGCCGTCTGGCCTCCTCACCGCTCCGTGTTTGCAGAAGGAAACATTTTATATGCTGTTCAGTTCCCCAAAATTAAATTTTTCCCTTTCAAATTAAAGTCCTTTTCCACGAAGGAGCCTGCGGCAAGACGCAAGCCAAGGCACACACAACGTGTCGCTATGCTTTATTAATTATGATGGAGAGGCGGCCTATGAAAGCGTGTTTACATTGCGCTGAAAATTAATGAAAACTCTCGGGACACTTGTTTACATACATTTCCTGCGCGAGGCATTGGCAGATAAGACTTTTTGTCTTCTCCGTGGCCGTTTGCGACTCGAGGGAGGGGCGAGCTGTGGGCTAGAACAGTATAGCCTTTGTGTCTGTCTGTCTGAAGTTGCTAAACTTTCCAGTTGTTCTTGAAACCAACTGTTTGTGGCAGTGCACCGGGGTTCACACGGCAGTCAGCTATGCTATGCTAATGCTATAGCTATGCTATCTAATCTAATAATCTGAATTGGAAAAAGGAAGGCAAGCTGATTATTTTTGGCCTCCTGTCTAGTGGTTGCTTTTATTTGTCATTCTTTGTTAAGAAGCTCTTTCATGTGATGGTTATCAGAGTGTGATAATCATTACAGTGAACATTGTTGCCGTTTTCGTCATGTCATATCACATTATGAATGAACTTATACTTAGTGCTCATACTTGGGATTAGTCAATTGAAAAAAACAAAAAACAAATCCTAAGTATTAATGGAATTTACTCACACATGTTGTTCCAAACCTGTCTGACTTATAGAAGATATTTTGAAAAATTCAATATTTTTTTGAACCCCATTTAGTTTTTGAAATATCATCTTTTTTTTTTCACAGAAGAAAGTAAGTCAAGACATGTGGGTGAATAAATGATGACAGAATTATCATATTGTGAGTGAACCACCCTTTTGATTTTGATGTATAACTCGTCTCACACCATTTGTGCTACGGAGATTGATGATGTCTCATATAATGCGGCATATTAAAGAAATGTGTGGTATTAGTGTCAGGGAACAGACTTATGATTTTCACCTTGCATATGATGAAACGGATGAACAATTCCCCTAAATTTACATTGAATGAGGAACTCTTCGACTTAGACCAGTACATTACCACCTAGCAATTACCCAAAACACCCTAGCATTGTGTTTAGCAAGAGCCACGTACTTTTCTTCATAAAAAATAAAAATCTGGTTTTGTTTTGATTATATCATCCAAATGCATCTAATCTAGTTTTGAAGTAAAAAAAAAAAATGTTTATAATTTAGATGTAGCCAATCGATTTAGCTTTTTTGGTGATTTGTCTTTTATACTTTTGCCATATTTGATTTGGAAATCTCTAAGAAAGCTTTTAATCTCATTTTGATACTCAAGAAATAAAATTGCAAATGTAATTTGTACACTGTAAAAAAAAAATTTTTTTAAAGTAAATAAAACAGAGTTTTGGAGTATATTTTACAAGAACATACTATTTCTGTTAAAATTTCATTTTTAAATAGTGTGTTGCCTTTCTTTGTAATTATTCTAGATGAAAATTGTTTCTACACCAAATCTTTGTCAGTGCATGAGGTTGTGTCTATGTCTTCCTCTGTTTTTGGCATAGATGTGTGACTCAGAGATCAGCACCTCTTTCTCTCTGCCATCCCAAGAGTCCTGTGAACGTTCGTCTCTTTATGCATGTCTTTTCGGTCTTCGTGGGGTTTGGCTCGAGCCCCTGCCTCAGCCACTAAATGACCAAGTCAGGCAAGAGCACTCCTTCACAAATTCGCCTGACGATTTTCCGCGGAAAGTGCTGAATCAGACGTTCGAGCGAGTCCTCTGGCACATGCGGTGCTCTTTGTGTCAGTCTTTCCTCTGCTGACTGAATCAGGACTAGAGTAAACCATATGGAGAGATCTGAGAGCAGACGGCCGTCCTGGAAAGTCACCCTGGTGGATAATGTCGAAAGTCAGGAACCGTTAATATCTCGGAGATTCATGTTTAGCTGTCTCGTATGCGTCAAGGGTTATTTCCATGAGGTGCTTCTGTTCATGTAAAGAGTCATTTTAGTTGAGTAAGAGCCGTTTATTCCTAATTTCACTCTCTTAGTAATTTTTTATTTTTTCTCTTCTGTCGAGCAGCTCTCTCTCACAGGCTCTTCAACAGCTCTGATTGT